ACGCTTTCAAATAAAATAATAGTTGTTGGAGATTTTAATATCCACTTTGACAATCCTCAAGATGCACTAAGCAAGGCATTTATATCTATCATAGACTCCATAGGTTTCACCCAAATCATAAAGGGGCCCACACACTACCACAACCACACTCTAGACTTAATACTAACCTTTGGTGTAAACATAGATAACTTAGCCATTCTCCCCCAGAGCACAGCAGTCTCTGACCATGACTTAATCTCTTATGAAATTCACTTCAGTAGTAATGTGCGCTCATCACCATGTTATTGTGTTAAACGGACAATAACTCCCTCCACAGCTGGTAGCTTTATCAGAAACCTTCAATATCAGCTTCTGTCAGCTGCCATCTAATCCTACCGAGTTAGATGCTATGACCAAGCTCTTAGAGGATAGTTTTCAATCTACTCTAGATAGTGTGGCTCCATTAAAAAGTAAAATAGTAAGGCAGAAAAAACTCGCTCATTGGTATAATGATCATACTCGGGCTTTAAAACAGACTGTCAGACAACTAGAGCGAAAATGGCACCTGACTAAGCTAGAAGTGTTCCAGTCCGCCTGGAAGGAGAGCCTTATAGACTATAGAAGAGCACTTGCTACAGCACGCTCAGCTTATCTCTCCTCTCTCATAGAAAACAATAAAAATACTCCTAGATTACTATTCAGCACAATCTCTAAACTAACAGAGAACAAAACAGTTAGTGAACTGCAGATGCCATCAGCCTATAGCAGCAACGATTTTATGAATTTCTTCAGTGACAAAATTGAAAAAATTAGGCAGAAAATTCAGAATACACAATTAAACTCTACAAACCTGCTTCCCCATAATGCCAGCCTCAACCTTGAAAATACTATAAACCCTGCAGAGAGGCTGGAATCATTTACCTTACTTCAAGAAAATGAACTAGTTAAAATCATTTCTTCCACAAAATCATCTACCTGTATGTTAGATCCGATTCCTACAGGTTCACTCAAGGAAATTTTGCCAGAAATAACCAAGCCTATTCTGTCAATAATAAACTCCTCTCTTAGCCTTGGATACACCCCAAAATCTCTTAAACTAGCAGTAATTAGACTGCTGATTAAGAAAGCTAACCTCAATCCCTGCAAACTATCAAATTATAGGCCAATCTCGAATCTCTCCTTTATATCTAAGATCTTGGAAAAAGTTGTTGTAAAACAATTAAGTTCCTATTTGCATAGGAATTAAAAATTCATGAAAAATTCCAATCTGGCTTTAGGCCACATCATAGTACAGAGACAGCACTAGTAAAAACCAGTAAAAATTGTGAATGATCTATTATTATTCTCTGACCAAGAAAATGTGTCCTTGCTAGTCCTCCTCGATCTTAGTGTGGCATTTGACACAATAGACCACGCTATCCTATTAGACAGACTAGAAAACCTTGTAGGAGTAACAGGAACAGCTCTTTCCTGGTTCAGGTCCTACCTCAATGATCGCTATCAGTTTGTTAATATAAACGGTGAATCATCTGTTCTCACAAAAGTAAAATATGGTGTTCCACAGGGCTCTGTTTTAGGACCTGTATTATTCACATTTTATATGCTACCGCTGGGCACCATTATCAGTAAACACAGCATAAATTTCCACTGCTATGCCGATGACACTCAGTTATACTTAGCAAGCAAACCGGATGATAAAATTTAACTTAGCAAGATAGAAGACTGTATAAAAGATGTAAAAGACTGGATGTCGAGTAACTTTCTCCTTCTTAACTCTGATAAAACAGAGGTTCTACTTCTTGGTCCAAAAGCGTCTGGAAACAGACTGTCTAATTTAACACTTACGCTTAGCAATTTCTCAGTTGCATCAAGCTCATCTGTAAAAAGCCTTGGTGTCATTATAGACCCTGATCTGTCCTTTGACGCACACATAACTAATATTACTAGAACAGCCTTCCTGCATCTCCGCAATATTGCTAAATCGAGAAATGCATTATCTCTACAGGATGCAGAAAAGTTAGTTCATGCATTTATTACTTCAAGGCTAGATTCCTGTAATTAACAAGCTTCAGCTAGTCCAGAACACTGCAGCCAGAGTTCTTACTAGAACCAGAAAGTTTGACCATATCAGCCCAGTTTTATCAACCTTACACTGGTTGCCAGTAAAATTTCGGATTGATTATAAAATTCTCTTACTGACTTATAAAGCTCTAAATGGACTCACCCCTCAGTACCTGAGTGAACTTCTCTCTCACTATGAACCATCACGCCTACTTAGATCACAAGGTACTGGATTACTATTAGTACCTAGAATTAATAAAGTTACGTCAGGGGGGAGAGCTTTCTCATACAAAGCCCCCCGGCTTTGGAATAGTCTTCCTGTTAATGTTCGGGACTCAGACACAGCCTCAGTCTTTAAGTCTAAGCTAAAAAACTTACTTGTATAGTCAAGCCTTTGGTAATTAGTTTTCCCTGTCGGTTCTATACCTGCCAGAGTCTCTGCTTTTCTTTCTGTAATGCTGATTTCCTTGTAAAGCTGCTTTGTGACAACGCCTGTTGTAAAAAGCGCTATATAAATAAACTTTACTTACTTACTTACTTACTTAATGGCTGTGTCTGATCCACTCAGACCAGCGCAACACACACTAAAACACCACCACCACATCAGTGTTACTGCAGTGCTGAGAATGATCCACCACCCAAATAGTACCTGCTCTGTGAGGGTCCATGGGGTCTTGACCACTGAAGAACAGGGTAAAAGGGGGCTAACAAAGTATGCAGAGAAACAGATGGACTACAGTCTGTAACTGTAGAACTACAAAGTGCACCTATACAGTAAGTGGAGCTGATCAAATGGACAATGAGCGTAGAAACAAGGAGGTGGTCATATGCCTGATTGGTATATATATATATATATATATATATATATATATATATATATATATATATATATATATAATAAGTTTATAAGAGCCTGAATGTGGGTCTCTTCACTCTTGTACTCACTGTCATATGTCACACTCACTTTCACATTAATTTCATAGTAGTTACAGAACAATTCTTGTAGTTACTGAATAATAAATATTAATCTTAATAATGAGCCCAGGGTCCTGAGGCCTAATATAAAAGTAGCAGTACTAGTTTTAGTAGTAAGTAGTTTTTCTGATTTGGTTTATTTATAAGTGGAAACCCATGACCCACTTGCGTTGCCGTGGTGATGGTTTCAGGCCAATACTGAGAGGAACCTCTTCTGACTGGACATTTTGATTCCATATCTGCTGAACAGCTTTAAGATTTAACTTATCTTATCTTTTATCATCGTCCTGCTGATAAATGGCTCGTTGTACAGAATAGATGATCTGCTCAGTGCGAGAATTGTGCAACGTTACATATACAACAAGTGTTTACTCCAAACTCTGAGACTTCACTTTAACTTTGGCTTCATTAAAACGTAACATTCAGGCCAAGGTGCACACAGACACTGCCTAACAAAAGTTTGGGGACAATAATTAGCATTTCAAAATGTTTTTAATATAAACAAGCATGTTTTTTAGTATCAATTTGCACAATAACTTATAATATTAAAGCTTGAGCAGGTTTATTTAGAGGGAAACAGTACATTAGTGCTGAAGATAAATATACCAAAGCATGAGCACATAGCAGTGGTGTAACTATGATATTAGGCCAAGAAAATAGATTGCCACTCCATACTAAAATGACTTTCAATGAATAATAAAATGACTTTATCATTTTTTGTTTACTAACTATTGTCATTTCTCAAAAAGGTTTATTCATTCAGGGCATGCCACTCAACCCATACACATCTTAATGCTTATGTTAGAATGCCTATTTAAAGTTTCAGAGTTATAAATAACGAATGTGCAGGTTTGAGGGCTGTATGTGAAATTGGTTTTCATTGCTGAGATGCATTATGAATGAGAGCGAGAGAAACAGACATCAGTTCTGTCTGTGCAGTGCTGTTGGAAGATAACTGGTGAGATATGTTGGTACAAAATGGGATCCTTCTGTGTGTTATGGGTGTACAATTGTGTGCAAATGTCAGAGACCACCCTTCACTTATTCCATCTGGGAGAAAATGGGACTTCTAAAAACCACCTGGAAGACCTGGTAGACACCAAAGCTGTCTCCATCAGATAAACAGCACTTAAAGGTTTCATCTTTGAGAGAGGAGAAAATCAAGCTGCTTCAGATCTGAAAACATCCACAGGTGTTTCTGTCCATCCTTCCACTGTGAGAAGACGACTCAGCGCTGTGGGTCTGAAAGGATGTGTAGCTGCCAAGAAGAACCTCACTGAGAAAAGGATACGGACACATCAAACAAAGAAGCTGAACAATGGACTGACCACCCCAGAGTCCAGACCTCAACACCACTGAATGTGTTTGATTACTTCAGAAAATGATCAACCAGCTTCTAAGACTGAACTTTGGAGGTGTGTCTGCAGATTCTTTGAGGAACTGAAAGTGAGTCTCCTGAAAAGAATGGAAGCTGTAATAAAGGTAAAGAGTGACACACTCTTGAGTGTTGAGCACTCAAACATCTGATATTAGATTTAGTTGTTGGCTTCAGTGTAATTTTCTGCTAAATACATATTTTCTGCTTGTTTCTAGAAGCTGAAAAATGAATAACTTGTACCTTATGGCTGTTTTGACTGGAAATTATATAAATAAAAGGTGTCTTTTTCATTCAACTCTCTCCTTACTTTTACACACTGCTGTATATGAAAATGGCCATTTAAGATATTAGGCTACACCATGGCACTAATGCCCGCCAGTGATTCTTAATTGGTAGATTTTCTATCCTTCTTTCTTTCTTTCTTTCTTTCTTTGTCTTTCTTTCTTTCTTTCTGTGAATCTATCACTGTATCTATCTGTATATCTTCTCTCTCCATTGTCGTTCTTTATCTCTCCTGACCGTGCAGTTCATTTATCAGCCGTAACTGGCTCTTGCCCCACCCTTAGAAATGAAGCCCCTCCCACTGTGTGTGTTTGAAGTTCTTCACCTGAAGCACATTCACCCTTTCACCTGTCCATCACACATACAGGACACTGGGATCTCTGAGTGGACAGTAAACAGTCAGTAACAGGATGATGGACGCTCGCTGGACAGCCGTGCTCTCTTTACTCTCAGGTTTGTCTTTAATTTCTCTCACAATCATTAAAATAAAAAAAAAGAAGTGAAATCATCTGAAATATAATCGATATAGCTGATATTTTTCATTATGTTCTTACTAAGAGACAAGATTACTTAACTAATTTATAGGCATTTGTAAATGTTTAAAGTAGATTTATATAGAAAACTTCTAGTATTATATTACAAGATAATTATGCTTGTTTTATGAAATGATGTTGAAATGATTCTTGCAGGGATGGGACTAGAGAGGTATAAAGCACCCCAGCATTGATTCCCATCCCTGGAATTGGGCATGATGACCTCTGGCTGTTCCAGAGTGTCCCATCTTACTGATCAGTGCTTTTCTATGGAGATTATACATGCTGTGTGATCGCAATTGAATGCCTGTGTTTCAGATTTCTGCATAATGCCGTGTTTAAGATGTGAACAGAGTGAATTCAGAGTGGTTAAGAAAGAAAAGGTTGATTGTAGAGACTCAGATTTCTTTACAGTGGTGGTGATAGGAACCAGGGGTTACCGTGATTACAAATATAGATAGTATATCCAAAACCACTAGTTAACCTATGCGTGTCTTCTGAGTTTCATATGGAACGTTGATAGTGGTAAAATAGTAGAAAATCTAAAAAAGTAAAATGTCCTTCAGGACAATTTTGCCACATAATGCCCTGTATGTGTTAAAAAAAATTAGGCCAAAATCTTCTTCTTGGAACAGTGTCTCAGACATCAGGCAGTGAATTCATAACCATTTCATGTAATAACTTTCTGTGAGGGAGCTTTTAGAGGTGGACGTCTGGTTCCTATCACCACTACTGTGAAAAATTCTGACTCTGTAAGTTTCTCTAGAACAGAGCATTTCACACCAAACCACTCTGAATGACTCTGCTTGTACAGAAACTTTGAAATATTGTTGGAATTCTCTTTCTGTCTCAATCTCTCCAATTCCATATCTGATGAGAAAGGATGAATATCTCAAAACAGCTAAACATATCTTATCTTTTATTATTGTCTTGTAGATAAGTGCTTACTTTACTGTCTCAAAACAGCAAGTCATAAGAGCAACGATGACATTAGGATTGTTTACCAGCATCTGATGTTTCTGTATGATAATTACTCTCTCTATTGCCTCTATATCACTTTCCCAACTTCTAACATCATGTAGAATAAAAAATCTCAGCCAAAGAAAACAAAAAAATGATTAGAATATATGTATAATCTCACTGTCAGAAACCCCTCTCTTATAGCTTCACCTCACTGGTGTTCAGTTCAAGACTGTAGCAGATGTACAGTTTGTGTTGTCTATCGTCTACCTTTTCATCAGTGGTCAGTTTCTGACCACAGAGCTGCTCTTGTTCGGATTTATTTGGGTGGTGGTCCACTCTCAACCCAGCAGTGATGCACACGTGTAAAAACTCCAGCAGCACCACTGATACACTCATACCAGCAAAACACACACTACTGGCCAGTGAGTGGAAGTACAAGATGCCAGAGTGGCCAGAGAATGTATATATGTGATGCTGTTAAATAAACGATGTTTATAAAAGCTTGTTTGGTTTTGTTGTATTCAGCCTCAGTGTTGGTGATCGGAGGTTCTTTTCCTCAGAGGCACCATGAAGACCATGATGTGGAGGTGAGGTGGAGAGTTTGTACTTGTGAGATACTTCACTGTTAAAGGTTCCCAAAAGGGTTCTACGGAGCAATACCGTAGAGGAACCATTATTTTTTTGAGTATTTTTTTTTTTATTATTTATAGATCTGTGCAGAAGTCAGGGACCAGATATGAGATAGTTTACTTGCATTAAGAAGGGGAAAATCAAAGGAAAATATGTGGAAAAAAAGAGAATTTCCAAATCTGGAGCTCAAAAAAAGACACAAAGTTCCAGAGAAACTCCTAACAGCTACCTGGAAAACTATCCCTATCAGATAAGCAGCACTTAAAGCTTTCATCTTTGAGAGAGAGGAGAAAATCAAGCTGCTTGAGATATGAAAACCTCCACAGGTGTTTCTGTCCATCCTTCCACTGTGAGAAGACGACTCAGCACTAGCTGAAAAATTGCCTGGTCTGTATTGACCTGGTCTGTAATGGCCCGGTCTGCAATGACTCGGTCTATAATGACCCGGTCTGTAATGGCCCGGTCTATAATGGCCCAGTCCATAATAACCCATTCTGTAACGGCCCAGTCTGTAATGGCCTGGTCTGTAATTGCCTGGTCTGTAATGGCCCAGTCTGTAATGGCCCAGTCTGTAACGGCCCGGTCTGTAATGGCCCGGTCTGTAATGGCCTGGTCTGCAACTCTTTGGTCTTTATTCAAACAGTGCTCTGTCCGTCTGCAATCTCCATCTGTCTATTACTCTAAAATGCTCACTAATATACCATCACAGTGGGAGCTGGCACACCTGTTTCCGTGACCCTAGGTGACTGGGTTCTATGTATACCACTGTGCTAATAATACCTCACTTCTTTAGAGGCCTGGAAACTAACCATTTGCTGGTAGTCTATCCTGGACCTTAAAGAATGCTGTAGCATGCATTTGTTAGACTGCAGTAAACATACAGATACTTCAGCATTCATACCGCAGCTGGGATGTAAAGAATAAAGAATAACCAACCCTACAAATGAAAAATAGAAAAAAGATTAAACAGGAATTAAGATAAAACATCCACAGAAGAAAATAGAAAAATCAAACCAAGAAGCTGATGATGTTCTTTGAACAATGGACTGACCACCCCAGAGTCCAGGCCTCAACATCACTGAATGTGTTTGATTACTTCAGAAAATGATCAACCAGCTTCTAAGACTGAACTTTGGAGGTGTGTCTGCAGATTCTTTAAGAAACTGAAAGTGAGTCTCTTGAAAAGAATGGAAGCTGTAATAAAGGTGACACATTAAACGCTGAAACATATTTAGTTGTTTAGGCTTCTGTGAAATTTTCAGTTTTCTGCTTTTTTCCTGCCTCTGATAAATTAATAACTTGTACTTAATAGCTGTTATGTTTGCACAGTCCTGTATGAATGCATTATATAAGTGTGTTTATTCACATGCATGTTTAATCTCTTTCTGCATGTGTGTGTGTGTGTGTGTGTGTATGTGTGTGTGTGTGTTAGTTCCTTTGGCCTTGTCCTCACTCTACTGCTGACTCTCCTGCCGCTCTTTCAGGTAAGTCTGCTGTAATCTGGAGCTATGCGCTGATACAGAGTGCTGTGGTAACAGTTTGGCCTTGAAGTGTAGTAATGCTTTAACCTGGATCAGATCAATTCTCATCACACATACAGTTAGTTTACAGTAAAACACACCACAGATGCACTTCTTGTCCAGCACACTTTGCTCTATTATAAGTGTCACAGCCCCCAGTAGACCATTTACATAATTCTGAGAAAGTCCAGCCTTCTTTAGTTATTGTTGTCATGTCTGCCAGTGTTACGACCCCTGGCTAGGTCTGGGGGTTTGGGGGATGTGAACATGAGGCAGGTGTGGAAGGAAAAAGTGAGTAAAAAGACAACTCTGAATCTTATGATGGAAGTGTAGATTGTTTTAACACTGTTTTTTTCTAAAACAAACTCTTTTCTAATGCTCTGCTCTTTCTGTTTTTCTGCAGTTCACTCTGTGAGACCTGCAGACATCACTGTACTCTCAGCTATAGGACTCCCACACACACCTGGGTAACACACACACACACACTGACAGTCTTAAGGATCTCTTTTGGCCTGTTCTCACTTAGAGGATGCTGAGCAATTCATAGTAGTTAATGAAAAATTCATATAATTTAGATATAATTTGTAATGTAATGTTAATTCATAATATATACTAAATAATGTGTGCAAGTTCCTAAATAATACGTCATAAGATTAATAACTGAACTAAAGCTTGAGTTTAAGTGTAGTCTTGGATTACATGACACTATCAGTGAAGATTCTCTGCTCAAGCTGTGAATTGAGAACTAGGCTTAAGTTGTGTCCCTAAAATTGTAGAATATTAAAGCTTTCACTGTTGTGTGTTGTATCATTTACTACTTAAACAAAAGGCTAAAATAGCAATTCATACATTTAATATTGCATCAAGTATAGACTCTAATTCTAATAATCTGAATGTGAATATTGTGTTTATACTGCGTGGATGAGCTGCTTTACAGGGTCAGCAGCAGTATTAGTCTGTTTTGGACTGTGATGGAGTTTAAAGGTCCCGTGTCTGACATGTTTCTTGTACTTTTTTCCTCCTGAGGTCCCCTTAAAATATTAGTGTGGTTTTATTAGCAAAACATTCAAAATTAATTTCTACATGACTATTTTTCAACCTTTCTTTGACCCTTAGAGCCGCTTTATCCTTAAACAGACTATTTTTTTAAAGATGGATATATGTAAATAAGCTCTGTTCTGATTGGCTGTCCTGTATTATGCCTCATTCAAAGAACAGGCCAGGATGAAAACTGGCTGTTTCTGCAGTGTAGTTTCCATGTATAGACTGTATGGAGCAGGGAATGAACAGTACATTTTACAATGTGAACAGTGTTTACATACTACATCAAACTCTTTATTTCAGAACAGTAAAGAAAATTTAGTTTTCCATTTCTGTAGATGTTTTATTACACACATCTATAACCTAAGAATGGCTCAATCAGTTTGCACTGAAGTCCCTGTAGTTACTGAATAATAAGCCTTAGTAGGTAATAAGCCTGAGATTTTAAGATGTTAATAATGCAGTAATGCAGGTTGGTCTGATCAGATGTACAGTAATATTTGTAATATTTTTGCAGGACTGTAGAGTCTGTGATCATGAAGCAGCTGCACGGTGAGATACTGACCTTTATTCACACTAATATCAAGGCTCCTCAATTGTAAGCAACCGTGTTTGTGTGTGTGTGTGAGTGTGAACTCCTTGATCTGTGAAGAATTACAGACACTCATTACAGTAGTCTACATAAAGTACTTTTTCTCTCTATTATTAGATACTAAATAATTCATAGCAGATGCTCAATAAATCACAGTACTGAACATAATACTGAAAAAAGTTTAGTAGTTACTGAACAAGTCATTAATTACTTAATAGTTTATAGTAGGATGCTGAATAATTCATTGTAGTTCCTGAATAATTCTTAGAATTACAGAATAATGAATGGAATTTACACAATAGTTCATAGATTTCACTGAATAATTCAAAATATATATTAAATAATGCATAGACATTACTGAATAACTGAATATTAAAGCTGGAGTTTAAGAGGTTAAAGATGCAATGTGTAAGATGTCATTGTATCTAGTGCTGAGGTTGCATATTGCACCCAACTGAATCCCCCCATCACCCCTCCCTTTCCAAGAGTGTAGTAGAATTTAGAGTGGCCATCAGGTTTTCTGCTGTCACCTGTCCCGATTTCTTTTAGCTCCTTCATGTTTTTGCCTCTTTGACGGTGAGGATTCAACCTCTCTCACTTTTTCTTGGGCTAAATGATAAGTATGATCCTCCTTTTGTCAAAATTTGGGTTGTCAAACTTCTCACAACACAAAGTGGTCATCCAGCACCAGCAGCCACCACTGTTTCTTCTTTTTTCTACGTTTTCCAACCGGAGCTAAATTCAAGCTGCTGCTTCAGCATAGAAACACAAAAGCTGTCCTCTAGAGCCAGTGTTTGTTTTGTTCATTCTGGGCTACTGTAGAAACATTGCAGCGCAACATGGTCGAAAGAGAATCCGCTCCCTATGTAGATATGAAGGGCTCATTCTAAGCTTACGAGAACACAACAATTTGTAGTTACAGGTGATTATACACTAATGAAAACATGGTTTTGTTCACTATATTCCATTTTTGCTAATAGATCCCCCTAAATCTTACACACTGCACCTTTAAACATAGTCATGGATTACATGACACTGTCAGTGAAACTTATCTGCTCAAAATAAACTGTTAATCCAGAACTGGGCTGAAGATGTGTCCCTGAAATTGTAGAATATTGTGGAAATCTGAGTTTTTAGGGGGGTTGTACTTCAGGAGTTAAGCTTGATGCATTGCCAAAAATATGTCTCTACTCTGTCCGAGTCAAGAAAGCTTTCACTGTCACCAAAATGCTAAAAGAACAAATTACACGTTTAATACTTCATCAAGTATAGACTCCAGTCTTAACAGCCTTCATAATACTTAATCTGAATGTGAATGTTGTATTAATATTGTGTAGATGAGCTGCTTTACAGGGTTAGCAGCAGTATTAGTCTGCTGATGGAGGCTGATAACAGTTTGTGCCATTACTGTTTAATATCTTTATGAGTGAGAGGTTATCGGAGCCTGTGGCTATAGAACTTTCTACATCATACACTTTCACAACAGAGAGATAAGCTACAAAGAAAAAAGAATAGATTGCAGGGAAAAGGTGTTATAGGTAATAATCACCTGCCTGACCTCTATTTGACCACCAAGTTTCATTATGTATATTTAGTGCATCTGTTTATGATCAAATTAGGGAAAAGGCTGATTTGCAGTGAAATCAATATTATCAATAACTAATTAGTATTGTGTCAATTAACCATGTTCTTGGTCATCAGTAAACAATTATGATCAAATCAAATAAAAATCATAGTAATAATAACAGTCCTCCTGAATGCTTTCCTCATACTAACTCACATTTCTATAATTTAGGGTGTGTTTCATGTTTATTGTATTTAGTATTGCATATATGGATCAATTTGGGGCATGTCATTTGAAAATGATATATAAATAATGGTCACTAGGTGGGTGCTGCATCAGTTGTGCTCAAATTACAGCTTGTTTTGATATCATACAACATTTTTATGAATGAACTTTTTCAGTCGCTCTAATCTGTATTCACTTATATACACCTTTCATCAATAAACATCTATGTGTGTGTGCAATAAATATGACTGACCCAATTTTAATCATTTTTAAATCAGAATTGATGTCCTTCTTCAGTCCTAAGTTAATCAGCCTGTTACCTAATGAAGCAAACTCTGACCCCAAATGGTCCAGGTAAGTGATATAACTGTAGGCACTTCCCATCTACTCATGTACTTCCACTAATTGGCCACATTATTAGAAACACTCACCTTGTAGTTCCACTAACTGGCCACTTTATTAGAAACACTCACCGTGTACTTCCACTCACTGGCCACTTTATTAGAAATACCAACCTTGTACTTCCACTAACTGGCCACTTTATTAGAAACACTCACCTTGTACTTCCATTCACTGGTCACTTTATTAAAAACACCAACCTTGTATTTCCACTAACTGGCCACTTTATTAGAAGCACCTACCTTGTACTTCCACTCACTGGCCACTTTGTTAGAAACACCTACCTCGTGCTTCCACTCACTGGTCACTTTATTAGAAGCATCTTTTATTTTATTTGTGTTCACTGTGTTTAATGATTCTGAATGTTGATGAAAACTCATTCTGAATCATACCCAAAGAATCAAAACAAATCGCGGTGAAACATGTTTCATGATGCACTGAATCATTTAAAAGAGAATCATAACTAAATCGAATCTTTGAGAGTTTCTAATAAAGTGCCTGAGAGAATCTGTTTGTATTTTTTTCCTTCTTATCTTGTCTGCAGTTTGCTGTTAGAAGCTGAAGAGACAGTTTTCCTCCTGAACCGTCGACAGGTGAGTCTGTTTTCTCAGCTGCACTTTAGACACTCAGGTTCTACTGTCTAATGCACGTTTATGATGTTTGTCTGTTTGTGTGATTAATTAGGTCACCCACGCTGAGAGCGAGTGGAAGCTGCTGGTTCTGTTTGTGCCGCTGGACAGGCAGTGTTTGTGCAGTGAGCAGGTCAGAGTGAAGATCACAAACAACAATTAAAGGAATATCTCAGCATTTTACAACCTCATATCTATCTGCTGCATTAAGCATACAATCGATTACCCTGGATGAGACCTGCACAGTGAATCATATTTTTGTTGTTATTGTGTTATTAGTTTCTACAGTAACCTTAACCACACATGTCCAGCTCAGAAACTACACTCTCAAAAAAGATGCTTCTTCAAGGGCTCTTGAGTAAAGAAGGTGTTTCTGTATAGAACCATGAACACTCAAAGAACCATTTGCATGGTGAAACCATTCTTCAGATTGATGGTGTTGTATATGGCTCTATGTGGCACCATAAACAGTTCTTTTGTTCCAAGCTTGACATTGTAACACTTTTGTGGTGCTATTTAGAACCCTTTTCAAAACAGTTTTATATAGAACCATAAACAACACATCCTCCATCAGTCTGAAGAGCCATTTCACCATGCAGAAAAACTTTTTAGCATGGAAATGGTTCTTTGAGTGTTTATGGCTCTATGTAGAACCACTGTCTTTACCAAAGAACCCTTGAAGAACCATCTTTTTTAAGAGTCCTGAACTACTAACCTGTAGAATGATGATTATTCTCACTCTCAGTGTTGTGTGTAAACTACATATAATACATCACTGTGTATGAGAAATAAAAAACTAACACAATCACTTAATGTATATTAATGTAACACCATGTATTAACCACTTTATCCTGAAACGTTTACTCATTGTAAAGAGCAGCTGGTGTTTTCAAATAGTGAAAAAAATAAATACATGGAGGTACAGTTGTATGCAAATGTTTGAGTGCCCCAGTCAAATTACATGTTTTGTTTATTTTCTATCTTAAAATAGGTTAACCGCTTAAAATCTCAGGCTTTTTACATACTAAGGCTTATTGTTCAGTAACTACAGGGACGTCAGTGCAAACTGAGCTTTTCTTAGCTTATAGAAGTGTTTAATAAAACTTTGGGCCCACCAGTGCAAAAGTTAAACATTTTATTAGTCTAAAAGTGTCTGTGTGTTTTCAGGTCAGTGTTTTAGTGAGAGAGGTGGATGCAGCTCTGCAGGTGCTGCACTCTCGGGTGTGTATCCGCACAAAACATGACACACACACACTACAGCTGTGTTTTTTGGCTTTACATGAGTGTGTTTTTGTGTGTTTACAGCTGGAGAAGGTCATTATCAGTGTAGTGCTCCTGGACACTGGACGTCTCCAACAAAGAAGGTGATCATGACACTGAATACAATTTTACTGTATTGCCAGGTCACGTCTTTAAAGAGGAATTCTACCAATTTCTCAAAATGTCTGCATAATTCAGTGTTTGAGATGTAAACAGAGTGATTCAGAGTGGTTTGGTGTGAAATGGTTTAGATGTCTTTACAGTGGTGGTGATAGGAACCAGGGGTCACCATGACAACAACATAAATAAAGACATTTTATTAACTATCCCAAACCACCAGTGAACCTACACGAGTCTTTTGAGATTTTATATGGGATGTTGATGATGGTAAAATTTCTTCATTTTCTTTGGGGACTGTTTTGCCTCACAGCGCCCTGCGTGTATCCCTCTGCCAATGATTTTAAGGCCAAAACCTGCTCAAAACTATCTTAAGCAGTGTCTCAGGCACCATGCAGTGTATTCATTACCGTTTCATGTAATAACTTTCTGAGAGGGAGCTTTTAGAGGTGGATGTCTGGTTTCTATCACCACCACTGTGAACAATTCTGACTCGGTACGTTTCTCTGGAACAGTGCAGAATTTTTTTGCAAAATATGTGAAATGTCACTTTAATATTGAGTGTAAGCAGCATGTTTAGTGTGATTCCCTTCTATATAATAATTGCTATGGGTGACAGGATGTATGTGTGTTGACAGGACATGCCTTTGCCCACCAGTACAGTCCACTGCAGAGCTTCGGTTGACCACAGCGATTTATTCTCATGTGCTGCTGGTGAGACCCCACTTAAAAATATTTATTCAAAATATGAAATACAGTCAGGCAATGCAGGCCTGTTTACAGTAACAGCTACAGCTGGTAAGCAACAACACTGTCTTCTGTTCAGGGCTTTATTTCCTCATGACACATTTATTTCATTTAGTTTATATTGTAGCCTGTTTGTCAATGTTATTGTTTTTAATCTTATTTGGCTTATTTTGTACACTCTTAACAAAGATGGTTCTTCAAGGGTTCTTTAGTAAAGACAATGATTCTGTTTAGAACCATGAGTTTTATATAGAACCATTTCGTGCTAAAATGGTTCTCTGCATGGTGAAATGGTTCTTCAGATTGATGGAGAATGTGTTGGTACTATATAGTATTAGAAAGGATTCCTCCATTGTTACAAGCTTGACATCATATCAAAAGCAGTCTGAAAAACCATTTCACCATGCAGAGAACCATTTTAGTATGAAATGGTTATATATAGAACCATTGACTATACATCTTTTTTAAGTATACTTCATCCTGAGATTTACACTTAAGTGAGGGCACATTGTAAATAAAATGTATTATTATTATTATTATTATTATTATTATTATTATTATTATTATTGTTGTTGTTGTTATTATTATTATTAACATAGATGGGCACTCTCTTAAAAATGATTGTTTTTCAAGGGTGTTTTAGTAAGGAACCATGAATGCTCCACCCTTTGCATGATTAAGGGGTTCTTTGCATCATGAAAGCATTCTGCAGATTGCAGAGTGCTGTAGATGGTTCTATATAGCACCAAAAAGCGTTCTGCTATTGTTACCATGTTGCCATTAATTACAGGATACTTATTACTCTGTCACAGTGAGTAAATATTCTGAGAAAATAAGTAATTATTTCTACATAGAAAGTCATTATTACGAGATGATTATTTAAATGAAAAAAAGACAAAATTATGACATACTAGAAACAGAGAGAGTGAAAATATTGTAGGTGCCAGAATGTAAACAGCTGCACCGTTTAAGGTGGAACGGAAATTTTGAACAAGAAGCAGGTGAGTAAGAATCAGTGAGGTTTGTTAGACTCTGTTCTTCTGTTTTTGGATTTATTTTGTCTAAAATAAAATGCTGAAGCTCCAGAGTGAGAGGACTGATCAACAGTAAAGCAGATCAGGAGCTGAACCAACACAACAGAATGAAATTAAACACAAAAAAACATTTGATGCAAAGTGTTAGTGACTAAAACTGAAATGAGAAAAAAGTAGATTACTTTACATACCGACACACTTGAGTAGGAGTAAAATTATTATTTGAAAATACTCAGGAAAGCATAAATCATCACAATTTCGCATGAGTACATAGATGAATAGAGCTAGTTATTACTCACCTCCTGATTATTAATAACATCTTGCTGTTCTCAGGAGTCTTTAGAACAGCACCTGGTAGAGAAACAGTGGTACAGCAACAGAGATGACTTCACCGTCCAGCTTCAGAGAGTCCCTCTATCAGACCTCATCCTCAGCTCGGTAAGCAAAATTAGATGTTTAGGGCAAAAAGCAATTAGTGTTAATCTTAAGTAATCTTAAAGGGCCCATATCACTGAAAAACTTCCTCACTTTCATGAAATAAAAGTGTTCAATGCAGTATGTAAACACTGTTAAAGTCCATTTAGTCTACATATGGAAACTAAAACATTACAAAAAACACTGCCTGTTCAGTTTGGCAGTTTAGCCTCACCCATTATACTGATGTTATAAGGTGGGTGTCAGCCAGGGCATCTTTCCAAGTGAGCCACAGTACAGACAGCGAATCAGAAAAGAGCTAGTTTATATATGTCAGTCTTAAAGCACAGCAACACAAACAGGCTGTTTCAGTCTAAGGTATGAAAAGAGGTTGGAAAGTGGTCGTGTAAAAATCATGACCCTTTTTGGTAAATGAAACGACAGTAATGCTATAAATGGACCTCAGGGGGAAATATAATTCATGAAAAATGTAGGATGTGCTTTCATGTAAAAATGAATTAGCCTTAATCGTAAGTAGTCTTAAAGGGCCCATATCATGTAAAACCAAATTTGATGTAGTATATATCCACCTGTTCAGACTGCAGTTTAGCCATGCCTATTAACACTTGATATAAGGAATGTTTCAGCCCAGACTGCTTTTCTGAATGAGGCACAATACAGGACAGCCAATCAGAAAAGAGCTCATTATAATATGTCAGCCTTAAAGGCACAGTAACAGCCTTAATTTACGTGATAAAGAGAGGATGGAAAACGGTCATGTAGAAATGAATGATTACTGTTTGTAGTCATAAAACCGTGAAGTGAAAAATAAAATACAACAAAATGTGGACTATGGACTATGGGCTAAGTAATATTAAGCTTCTATTATCCTTCTATTATCTTAGAAGAGAATAAATCATGTGACCTCTGTGTCTTTGTGAAGGATGGTGAAGCTTCAGAGGAGAAACTGGAGTCAGAGACGTATAAACTTGTTCTTCAGCTGTGGGAAAACCTGGTAAACCAGACAATTACACTTACAGACATGTTCAAATTACACTGACTCTCACTCTGCCTGGCAAAAGTTTGGGGACACCTTGACCAAAAAGTTTCAAACACCTTTTGAGTGTTGAAGAACAGCCTTCAGCTTTAGGACAAATAGGAAGATCCAAACAGCTTACAATTTAAAGGGCAATTCCACCAATCTTTCAAATGTCTGCATAATTCAGTGGTTGAGATGTAAGCAGAGTGATTCAGAGTGGTTTGCTGTGAAATGGTTCAGATTTCTTTACAGTGGTGGTGATAGGAACCAGGGGTCACCAGGACTACAACACAAATATAGCCACTTTTATTTACTATCTAAAACCACCAGTGAACCTACACGTGTCTTCTGAGCTTTATATGAACATTAAACGTTGATGATGGTAAAACAGTGGAAAATAAGTTTTCTTTGGGGACTATTTTGCCTCACAACACCCTGCATGTATCCCTCCACCATGCATGGATTTTAAAAATATGGTTTAGGCCAAAATCTCAAAATTATGGCACAACAATGTCACAGACATCAGGCAGTGTATTCATAACCATTTCATGTAGTAACTTTCTGTGAGGGGGCTTTCAGAGGCATTAAACTCTTTGGACGTCTGGTTCCTTTTGGTTTCTTTTGGTATGGTTCCTAGAAATCAAAAAAAGATATGTTGGAGCTTTAATATGCTAAGTTGTTGCAAAAAGAGAATGTAAATATGTTTATTTATTAAAAGCATATTGCACAGCTAAGTGTCCCCAAGCCTCTTCTGGGCAGTGTATGCAAACAATAAGATTAAACACACTATTTTTGTGTATTATTTCGCAGCTCCAGCCAACCAGCAAACAGAAAGCAGTGGAAAACAGTGAAATGTTAAAAATCCGGTGTCCGAGTGAGGTAAGACGCATTTACACCATTCTACGGTACACAGTGTATTCATGTCTCTGCTGGATCTACACGTTATCTTCTACAATCTACTGTATTTTTGTTGAAAGCTCGACAGAGTGCACTGACCCTGAAAAATATTAATGAGACTTTTCAAGTTCTAAATAGCTGCTAATACCAAATACACTTATACAACGACTGTGGGTTCAAGCCAGTGCTGTTCTGCCAGGTATTTAGCAGCTAAATATTTATTGTAAAAATACTTTATAATGCTACAAAATAAGTCCAAAGCAGTTTGTAAATTAAAGCTTTTAAAGTGATCCTACTTGTTACAAAGCCCTCCACACTCAGAAATAAAACAGCCCACCTGAAATCAAACTAGACCATTTTTACCTTGTATGTTCATAGACCTGGTCATATTCATCATAAGCAAGATTCATCATATCATTTAAAAGTTAAAAATTTCTTGTTATCCTGTAATCTTCCATCAAAATGTAATGACTTTTGCTCCACCCCAAAAAATGTCTTATGATTTTTGATGAAGTCACTCTGCATCAGTGGGTGGGGCAAAATAATATTAACCAATAATATATCCCACCACCTCCACCACACAACAACCCCCCTGGATCACTTTTTGAGTTCAGAGTTTAGCATTTTTAACTAAGGTGTCAATTTTTATAAACAGCACTGTATGTAAGTGCTGCACAAGCAGTCGCTTAAACAGCGTTAGCTGGCTTGTTAGCAAAGCTGGTTACAAAAACAGTCAGGTTTGTGCTTGTTGTCGTGGCTTGGAAAACTAACAGAATGAACCATTACCAACCTTTGCTTCAGTACGGGAGGGTCACCCGATAAACCCATAAAATCAATGCTTTAAAAATATGTTGTTCAACAAGATCACATGACGTGCTCTCAGCATCTGTATTTGCTGTTTTCAACTTGTTCCATGAAGTTGAGATGACTGCAATTGTGGCAGCTGAGTTTCAAGTGAGTTGCATTAGGTTATGCAACTCAAATGCAATTTTGCTTTATGCAGGTTTCAAGCAACTAAAGTTGCATGCAGGTTTCACTGTGTAAAGCCATCCTAAGAATAAATAATGGATGCTTGTGAGTAGAAACCCTGTCCTGTTAATGTAGTGATAAGTGAGTTATTACACATGACAACTTAAAAAATCAAATGTTTTGACAGATTAAACTGGGTGAGAAAGAGACTGGCGTCTGTTTTAGGGGTTTGAAACTTTTCTTGCCGCAGTGTAGAGCTGATCTATATTTTGATTTTTCTCTATTTTTTCTCCACAGGATCACCCGTTCATCAGAACAGAGAGGAATTCTCCGGCTGAAAGCTGGCCAGAATCTAGAGCAACTCTCAGTGTAAATCACCCCACACTTCACTGAATAATACATCAAAAGATGAATAAAAAAGTAACACAGCGCCTCTTTCTTCACAGGCTGCCTCTGCAGAGACTCAGTCTGCAGTAAAGAACGATATTGCACTCAATATGATACTTTTACTTCTGGTCGGTTATATTAGCGAATATAGTAATCAACTTTTTGCAGTTTCATTTTAGTAATTTATTGAGTCATTAGACATTTACACTTAGTCCTTAATTCCTTTTTATGGGTTTAATTTTATTCTGTTATGTTGGCTCAGCTCCTGTTATGCTTCACTGTTGATCACAGAAAAACAGAGCTGTACAAACTTCAGTCCCTAAATGGATTCTTCAGTTGCTAAACAGCTTCTTATTTACGTTCCACTTTAAATGGTGCAGGTGTTACAATCTGGCACCTCAGCACTATTTAAGGTGGAACGGAGAAATCAAATGAGAAATCAAATGAGAAATCAAATGAGAAGCCAAATGAGAAGCCTTTCTGTGCTGGTAGATGTTGGATGGACTAGGAAGTTCCACTGCAGTTCTACAAGTTGCTCAGTCCTTAAGTAGTTCTTTGAGTTCTTTCTCTACTTCTACCCAGTCAATTGTATGGAAAGATACTTTTATTCTTACTGCAGTCATCATTTCACTGCAGCAACACCTTTACTGGAGGATGGGTTTTACGCTACTCTGCCCTATGCAAGCTCATGCCAGCCAAGCAGAAGAGAAACAAAATCGTCCACAATTTTTCCTCCTTTCCGGTTTCTGACAGCAGTACATCAAAATATTGACTCAGCATCACAAATAATAACTGCCAAAATAATAACTCATGTTTAAATAATTCTGCAGTATCTTGTAATACTGACTTACTATGTTGAAATAAATGTGTATTATCTCTAAATATTGACTCAGTATGTCAGAATAATCACTTAGTATCTCATAATAATTTCGTTCTTTTTTGTTAAAATTTGACAAACTCTTTATGTTGTTATCTCAAAATCTCAAGAAAATAATTATTTCCAAAAATAAAGGCAATATTTTGAGACATTAAGTTAAATTCTATTCTACTCTATTTTGGGTAAATAACATTATTATTATTATTATTATTATTATTATCATTATTATTATTATTATTATTATGGCAAAAACATAGGTGATTTTTTTCTACACTACCTGGTGGGAACAGACCAGGTCAATCATTAGGATCCACCTCATTTAAATGCGAAATGTTGATGAACATGTCTCTATTTTAGAAATCCTAATGATTGACTGCTGCTGGTGGCTGATTCTGTATGCTGTTAAAAGTTAAATTAAACGTTATTTAAATAAGGTTTTATAGATGTTGTTTGTTTGTAGGTTATGGGGACTGAACTGCCTTGTAAAAACCTGAATCCCTCCAACACTCCACCAACATCAGGTACAAACAGCTGCATCCACATCTGCATTTCTACACCATAGTCGCTATTACTGTCATAGTTCTACACTGACCACAGTCAATCATATAATCCCCCCGTATTTAAAATATGGTTGTTCTGCTAAGACAGGTTTGGTGTCTAAAGATCTTTAGTGTTGTACTGGAGCTGAGCTCATAGGCTAAAGTCACTAACAAGTAATAGATCAGCACAAATGAGCTTGGTGCTAACTGCACACCTGAATCATCACCCACTCGTCTCAAAGCCTGTGGAGTTGTTCAGTATCTCTAATGGACTTGATTATGTGCTTTCTGGCACTGTATGACTCACTGTTATCTATAAACATGGACTAAATTGTGCAAAAACAGTAGCAGCAGCCAGATGGAGGCCTGAATTTTGTCTGTACTTTTGTCCAAATTAGAGCATTAACCATAGTAATGGTAAGTTTCTCTGGTTCCTGTAGTCCACGCTCTGAGGCCTGCTGATATCCAAGTGGTGGCAGCTCTCGGAGATTCTCTAACGGTCAGTACAGCAGCTTTACACGTTTATATTAAAAGCTAAATAAATGTGGCTAAAACTGCTCACATGGGTAACAGGACATGAATCTAGTAGATCCATTAGCACGACCAATATATCAATAACACTAGCGTAAAAAAAGTTTAGAATCACATGTTAAATGAGTTGTTCAGTAATTTCTGCAAGGTTTCTGACAGGCAGTGTATGTCCTAATCCTGTGTGTGCAGGCAGGGAATGGTGTTGGGTCATCACCGTACAACCTGCTGGACGTCATGACACAGTATAGAGGCCTGTCCTGGAGGTGAGTTACCAAGTATAACAGTGTCTAGTTATTTATATGATGGCCTACAGTCATACAGTAACAGCTCTCTGCCTTTAACACCCTTCAACATTCTTTTCTCTTGTGGGTTTACAGTGTTGGAGGAGACCAGAACCTCTCTACAGTCACCACACTGCCCAGTGGGTCATCACTCTTATTCTGACTGTAACTTTAGTCATAGAGAAATGTCATTAAGCTGAATGACCTCTCACACAGTATATCCACAAATGGACAGCATATCCATAAAAGTCCATTTTAAAGAAAAAAATCAGGAAAACATCACATTTACAGAATTTACCCCACCTTACCCTAAATATAGTGCATCAAAGCAAAGACATGTTTGGTGCCTCATACTTTTACTTACTGGCCACTTTAACAGAAACACCTTGCACTTCCATTTGCTTGAAACATTATTAGAAACACCCTGTACTTCCACTTACTGGCCACTTTATTAGAAACATTTTGTACTTCCCCTCATTGGCCACTTTTTTTAGAAACATCCTGTACTTTCACTCACTGGCCATTTTATTAGAAACACCTTGTACTTCAACTAACTGGCCACTTTGTTTGAAACACCTTGTACGTCCAGTCACTGGCCACTTTATTAGAAACACCTTGTACTTTCCCTCACTGGCCACTTTTTTTTAAAAAACATCCTGTACTTTCACTCACTGGCCATTTTATTAAAAACACCTTGGACTTCTGTTCAGTAGCCACTTTATTAGAAACACCTACCATGTACTTCCACTAGCTGGCCACTTTATTAGAAACACCTACCATGTACTTGTACTCACTGGCCACTTTATTAGAAACACCTACATTCCCAGTAACTGATTTTTTTTTACTTTTCTCTGTTTCTCCTCTGTGATGATGTCCAGATATCCTGCGAGAATTCAACCCTGCGCTGACCGGCTTCTCTGTGGATAAGGGTAAAGAGGGAACATCACAGGCTTTCCTCAACCAGGCTGTAGCAGGAGCCACCAGCGTGTGAGCGTCTTTGCTGTTTCCTTTCTCTAATGATATTTTAATGTGGAATGAAAAGTGAAGGTGAACTGTTTCTTGTTGTTAGTGACATGCTGAAGCAAGCTCAGGCCTTGGTGAGCAGGATGAAGAACGATTCTGTAAGAGAAACTGACTCTCTTCCTCAGTCCACCTTAAAGAGGAATTTCACCAATGTTTCCACATTTCTGCATAATTAAATGTTTATGTCATTTATACGGAGTCAGAATTGTTCACGAACTTTTTTTTTCAGATTTACCACTATTTTACCATTATCAACATTATACACATAAATAGAAATAAATAAAATATATTTGAATAAATGAATGAAGGTTTTCTCTAGAAATTTTGAAAAAATGGTGGAATTCCCCTTTAGACACAGCTGGCTTGTAATAATAATAGCTTGTTTAGGTTCTATGATAATTACCAAGGTTTATTTCATCCTTAAAGTTTTTATTGTTTTGTTGTTTTTGTGTGTACAGCGCATTGACTTCCACTCTGACTGGAAGGTGATCACTCTGTTCATCGGAGGGAATGATATCTGTAACTCCTGCGAGAACTCTGTAGGTGTTCACTGTCACAGCAGTGGATTAGGAGAATGCAGTAGTAGCTGTAGTGGATTCAGTGTGAGAGTTTGTAAGAGGTTTAGATTGTTATTTCTCTCTGTTTCACAGCTCTATTACTCCACTGAGAACTTTGTGAAGCACGTCCAAGAGGCGCTGGACTACCTGCACAGTGAGGTCAGAGACATTTATAATCTCCATAACTGTCTGTTTTTTGATATATGAAGCATAATCTGGCATCTATTTTTTACTTTATTCATAATTTTTACAGTATTTGAAAATGCCAGCTATTATGTGAACATTTCATGAAGTATTCCAGTAGAAATGGTCCAAAATTAGTGTTAGTCAATTAATTTAATTCAGTTAACTAATTAATTAACTCCTATCTTTTTGTCTATCCATCTGTGTGTCTGTCTGTCTGTCTGTCTGTCCGTCTATCTATCTATCTATCTATCTATCTATCTATCTATCTATCAGTCTATCTATCTGTCTGTCTGTCTGTCTCTCTTGTTCCTAAGACTCTCTGTGTGTGTTTCTGTATCAGGTTCCTCGGGCTGTAGTTAATCTAGTGGAGCCGATTCACATCATCCCGCTGAGAGGAATGCACCAGGACTCCTCTCTGAACTGCCCCACATGGCTGGTGCGGTGAGTCTGCGTGTCACTGGGTTTTGTGTTGTCTTTATTGATTATTCAGATGTGCCTGTGTGGGAATTGTGGGTTGATGCCGATATCTGGTATTTTTCAGTGAATGTCACCAATTTGACTTTGTGAAAGTAGCTTTATAGTTGAAAAGAAGAAAACAAAACACTGTTTGTCTAAAAATAAAATAAGTGAGTAAGATCCCTGTTTGTCCTCACAGGATCCTCTGTCCCTGCGGTATTTTACCAAAAGACGGATCGAAAGCGCTGCAGGATCTGGATGATCTGAACAGAGCTTATCAGGTACACAGACACACAGGAGCTCACACATGTTATTTGTGTGATATTGTAACTCTCTTGTATGTATGTATTGTGTGTATGTATATATGAATTGTATATTGTATCTCTGTCTCTCATGTTTCAGAGGGGGCTTGTGGACCTGGTGGAGTCGGGCCGCTATGATACACACTCTAACTTCACCGTAGTGCTGCAGCCTTTACTGAGGGATTTAACACTGCCATACACGGTTAGACACACTTACTGAATAATTCATAATAGATGCCAAATAATTAATAATGGATATTGAATAATTCTTATGGATATTTAATAATTCATAGTATGTGCTGAATAATTCGTAATGGGTACTGAATAATTCATAGTAGATATTATTATTACAGATACTGAATTATTTGTAGTAGATACTCAAAAGTTTGTAGTAGATACTGATAATAAGCCTTAGTATATTAAGACTCACCTTGTACTTCCACTCACTGGCCACTTTATTAGAAACACCTTGTGCTTCTGCTCACTGGCCACTTTATTAGAAACACCTTGTGCTTCCACTCACTGGCCACTTCATTAGAAATACCTTGTGCTTCTGCTCACTGGCCACTTTATTAGAAACATAATAAGCCTTAAGATAATAAGACTCTTTCTCTCTCTCCCCCTCCCTCTCTCTCTTTCCTGCAGGATGGTCGTCCTGACCGCTCGTTTTTCTCTCCAGATTGTTTCCACCTCAGTCAGAAAGCTCACACTCTGATGGCTCGAGGTCTCTGGAACAACATGGTGAGTTACTTCACATGTCTGAACCTGACTGCACACCGTCTTTTACAGCTTTTCGTTACTACAGCTTTTCTTAACTACTTGAACACAACTGTTGAAACTGCGGAGTGTTTCAAAACTAAAAAAGGAAATTGCTTTCGTAAAACAAAGAGGCAACATGCAATACACACTCTATTTCTGAAAGTGTAACTTTCAGTGTGTTATTAAATGCAGAATCACGCAACTGTGACCTGTTGGCCTCACAGTACTCGCATGGACGAGCAAAGGAGGACTGCAAGTGTGCTATTTGGAACAGAGCTTCTCTCTCACTCTCTTCATCACTCTCTTTGTCTCTCTCTCTCTCTCTCTCTCTCACTCTCAGCTGGAGCCGCTGGGTAATAAAACTAACTCTCAGGATTTCACTGCAGGACTCTCAGTCAAATGTCCATCAGAGGTACCGCCTTTCTCACCATCTGTCTCCTATTACTGCCTGAACTACACTGCTACTTTACAGAATTCATTTATATAGCCAATTTAATCCCATGTCATCTTTATTTTGTCCTTTTCCAGAACTCTCCCTTCATTCAGACCTATGAGAACAGTAATTACACATATAAAGGCCCAGCCCCGACACCACCACCCATTTCAGTAAGTAAAACAGCACTCGTTTAAGGACATCAGGGCCAAATGACGAAGGCAAAGCCTTCATGATTAAACCCTCCAACGACAGACTAGTATAACAAAATCTGCAATATGAGTCATATTTGCTGAGCCAAGGTCAAAGCTGTTCAATTCTGTAATAACTTATTAAAAACTACTGTATAAAGAATGTCAGCATTTGACAAACAAGGCAAGAGTAACTGAACCATAAAACCATAGATTTAAGTATACTAGACACCAAAAGGTATTAAATGTTATTAAATGATTATATGCAGTAAATTTATTTACAATGATATTTTGTAAAGATTTTATTTCTACTTTTGGAAGTTACAGTATAGCTGTATCTGAAATGTCAGAATAAAAAGGAAATTAACACTGACTTAGAACTGATGAAGTGGGATTAATTGCTTTTCTCAGGATTGGGGAAGTGATTTCTCCTGCATGGACACTGCACCGTCCAACAGTGTGCCCACTTCAGGTGAGACGATGAAAAAGAGAGTTATTTGCTTGTTAAATGAAGAGGATTGCTTTACTCATCACCTGAATACTCCGAATCTGATGATTTTGTTTTTATTTACAGTTCACAGACTGCGGCCGGCTGACATCTCTGTGGTTGCAGCACTCGGGGACTCTATAACTGTAAGTCCAGTCACTGTTTACCAACTGGCCACTTTATTAGAGACACCTACCTTGTGCTTCCACTCATTGGCCACTTTATTAGAAACACCCACCTTGTAATTCCACTCACTGGCCACTTTGTTGAAAACACTTACCTTGTCTTGTGCGTGGTGCTGGTACAAATGTATCAGACATATTAAGAGTGGTCTGCCACCAAAGAAAATCCTCTGAGGTCAGAAACTGACCATTGATGAAGGTCTAAAGGATGAACAAAACAACCTGTATACATCAGCAGATGAGCTACTGTCTCTAGAAAAATGGGGCTACAAGAGAGGGATTTCTGCACTGTAAAAAAAAAGGTAATATTGGGCCTGACTTAAATTTTTGAGTTATTTGAACTTCAAATAGTTCAATTTGCTGAGCATAAAACACAGATTATTGTTCTGTTTATGTACTATTCAAAATTCAATTAACTCAAAATTTTAAGGCAGCCCAAACAATAACTTTTTAAGTTAAAACAACATTTTACAGTCTGATAAGGTGGCCAGTGGGTGTATAATGTGAACAGAACTCTCTGCAGTATTGTGTGATATATATATATATAGTCTGTTTTATATCAAATAGTAAAGCATGAATGGTCTTTAATAGCATATAAACAATGAGGTTGGGCACTGTGTTCATCATAATCCATTCCTATCAGTACTAAAATTGTGTAGTGTAGGCAGATGGACAAATGTGATCTAATATATGGCTAATTTAACACTCACTGGACATCAGTGGTTTTGTTTTGCAATCTCTTAACTCATGATCAACCATGAGGTTTATATGAGGAGAAAATTACTGCGATGATGTTTAAGATGCTATCAGATTCACATGAAACTAAATCTAAATCAGTTCATAATTAACTGCCTTTATATCATATAATTCTATATGTTGTCATTTTTTAAACCTTTTGACATTTGTTTCATTAACTTCTGTTCAAAATTAGGATTTCAAAATTTCAGCAGCAATATACAGCATAAATAGAAGATGTAATCAGGCTGTTTTATTGTGTGTCTCTTTCAGACAGGGCTTGGAGCAAAGTCACAAAGCTACTTCCTGCTCAACACAGAATACAAGGGAGTTTCCTGGAGGTGAAACTCACACGGTCAACACTAACTAAACTATACACACCGATCAGTACATATTTATATATTCCTTTGACAGTCTGCTTCCTTAACTAAATTTACTAAAATATTTTATATTTTAAATGAAGGGTTTATACACCAATGAACCAAAGTAAGCAAACAGTACATAACAGTACATAACATTAGGTTCTAAAAAGTTACATATGTGTACCTGTTCAAAACCTAATGTTTTAAAACAGAACAATGCAACAAAAAGCCTGGAGTCAGACACAGCGTGTGAAGTCAATACAGCTTAAAAATATAACTGCAAAGCAATGTTCCCTAACTTGAAGGCGCCACTGTGTGGCTGATCATGCACCTGCACATAATGTAGCGCCAAATATAGAGCAGCAGCAGCAGATAAAGATACAGGTACAGAAGAAATATTATATTATCTTTGCAGGGAGCAGCCCAGCAACAGCTTAGCAGCTTTGTCTCACAGCGTAGGTTTTTGTAGGAAGCTGTAAAAATGAAGACATTTCTGATGATGATCAGAGCTGTAGATGATTCCATAAAGACTGAACTTAGAATGAATAAATTCAATTAATAAACTGAATATTCAGAATGCCACATATTTGAAAAGCAATGGCCAAGTTACACTGACCAAACAGCTATTCATATGAAATTCATAACAAGAAAGCATTTTTCACCATGTTACAACTGTGTTTTTATCAAAATACCTTGAATTGTCAATAAACATTGGTTTGTTTTAGTGACTAGTTTATAACATCTTATACACTGCATATGTTATTATTGAACGGTTATTAATATGACCAGTGATTTGACACTTCTGTAATGGATATATTAAGTGTGTGTTCTGTGTGTGTTTGCAGTATTGGGGGTGATACAGCCTTAGAGACGACAACAACACTGCCCAGTGAGTTTAACTCCAACTCTCTCTCTCTCTCTCTCTCTCTCTCTCTCTCTCTCTCTCTCTGTCACAGATACATACAGTCGTATGCAAAAGTTTGGGCACCCTGGCCAAAACAAGTTAACACATCTTATATAGAGAACACACTTATGTACATTTTATTGTTAATTTAATGAATTTAAACACTAAATGTGGCCTGTGAAAAAATGTTATGGCACATTTTGTATTTTTTGTTCCATTGTGTTAAACTCAGCAAATATATTGTGCACTAAAGGTTGTAAAAATTGCCATTTTTGAGTGTGTTCTCAGTAGAGGATGTGTTATTTATTTTCACTCAGAAAATCAACAAAATGTGTCCAAACTTTTATATACGACTGTACATACTTATCCAATAACAGTATTATTATTAATAAAAACAGTTTAAATCAAGCTTTACTGGTCACACACAGCCACACACAGTATAACATAACAGTGAAATGCTCATACGACTGCCCGTTTCCACTGAAATCAAATATGCAATAAAAAACTATATGATAAGAAGATAAAAAAGGGTAGAAGAACATAAAAATATGGGGGTCTAATAAAATTCAAGGATCTTTGACTTTAGGTCTACTTGAGATCAATTTTCAGTGCATAATGTTAGATGTTTTGCTCAGGTGAGATGGAAGTGTTGTTTCTGAGCTGACTCAAATTTTGATCAGTTGTTATTTATTAATTTATTTATCAATCAATCAATTTATTTATATTTGTATTTCAGACATCCTGAGGAAGTTTAACCCATCTGTTCAGGGCTTCTCTACAGGACAGGGCTTATTCGCGAAGAAAGGCTTTAACATGGCCGTGTCTGGAGCCAAAACCTCGTGAGTACCTGTCTTCATAATAATAATAATAATAATAATAATAATTTTACATTTTATTTGTGAGTCATTCCGTGAAGTGTGCTGTTTGAACTTAAGTACATGAATTCAAAGGTCATGATTTGATGCTTAGTGTACAACAAAGAAAGGTTATGATGGCAGCCTTAACTGCGGCCAAGATATCAATCTTGAAAGGCTCGTTTGAACCTAATCTTATTTTATCATGCTTATATTTATTAAGGCAGCAGTGATTTGTTTTTGGACTTTATGTTCCCTGACTAAAGGTAGTGGAGATGTACCCTTGATTAGACCACCCCAGTGACAAGAGGGACACTCCCCCAGTGAGAGTTCAGTACCTTTTGTCTGAGAGTGTAGAAATTGTTGATTGTATGTTAACTTTGAAAAATCAACAAAACGTTTTTAAGAAAAAATACATTTAAAATTCATCATTACCATAGTGTATTAAATTCTTTATAACAAGTGAAAAAGTTAAATGAAAAATGTTTTCATTTATAATTTTATTAAGATTACGGACATTTTATGTCCACATAGACAGTCTCTGACTTAACGTCAAACTTTGCAACGCTCAGATATACAGTTGAATGCGAAAGTTTGGGCACCCCTGATAAAAAAAAAAAGTGACAGTAAGTGAACACATCCTCTACAGAGAACACACTTCTGCACACTTTAATGCATGATTACTGCTTATTTGCTAAGTTAAAAATATTTTTTTTCCAATATGATAAAATTTGCAGAAAAATTTATTTCACATTTAAGTATGTTCTCTGCAGAGAATATGTTCACTTATTTCCAAAAAACAGGCCACGTTTGATGTTTTTTTATTTTCTCTAGTAAGTTAAATTCTAAAAACTTTTGCAGCGTAGCATGTTGTTTAGCTCGTGCTCTGCTCAGGTTTGTGTTGTTCTGCTCAAGTGTCTCTGATGATCAACCCAGAACCAAATCCCCTCAGGAGCCGAATCAGCTATCAGAGTGAAGAGATCAGAGGGAGTGTGCAGTGTGCAGCTCCTCAGGACTGTCTGAGTCTGTGTTTGGGTTTAATTTTAGAGCATCAGCAGTAAATAAAACAGCAGATCAGGAGAATCATGATCGGATCTGAGCTGTTTTGTCTGGCTGGTGTCTGATTAGTTTAAAACCAATGTCTGTCTGTTACTGTAAATCAGAATACTGTACTGACCAGCCCCTCATCTCCATCCATCAGTGACCTCCCAGCTCAGGTCAGCGCACTAATTGAGGCCCTGAAGTCCAGTCAGGTAAGAGTGCTTTCAGTCACTGTCTGTTTTTGTGTGTGCACTCTTAAAGAAGATGTTTAAGATGTTAAGGGTTCTTTTTTAAAGAAAATGGTTCTATATAGAACCATGAACACCCAAAGGACCCTTTGCATGATTAAATGGTTCTTTGCACCATGAAAGTGTTCTTCACAGTGATGGAGAATGTGTTGTATATGGTTCTATATAGCACCAAAAAGGGTTCTGTTATTGGTACAATATCAAGCTTGTATCAATAGAAGAACCCTTTTTGGTGCTATATAGAACCATTTTCAAAAAAGGTTCTATATGGTTCTATATAACACATTCTCCATCAATCAGAAGAATGCTTTCATGATGTGAAGAACCCTTTAATCAAGCAAAGCGTTCTTTGAGTGTTTTCTTTACTAATGACCCCTTTTAAGAACCATCTTTTTTAAGAGTGTACAGTTTCAGTGCTGATAGATCAGAGAGACTCTGTCAGGGTTCCTTAAGTCTGTTTAACTGTTTAAACCATATCCAAAGCGCTGATCTTTGGGTGATTTATTTTTTTTTCGGCTGGACATCAACTCCATCACAAATGAATGACGTTAAAGTTAATAGCCACTGATTTATTATTACTTTTTATTAAAATAGGTATATAGGTATACAACTTTTGCACAGACTAATATGTTAAATTCAGTAAATGAACAGTAATTGTGTGTTAAAATGTATAGAAGTGTGTTCTCTGTAGAGAATGTGTTGACTTATTTTCACAACAATATGGAGTTTGATCAGGGGCGGGTAAACCTTTAAATTTATAGATTCAAATCTTATAAACTAGAAAAAGTATTTTTGATATTTTAATCAATATTTCAAGAATTTAAAGTAAATGTATGCTGCATGTTAATTATATTAGAACTTCATATGACGGTAATGTTATTAGAACTGAATTCTTGATGTTCTACAGCTTTCTCAGTCAGTTTAGACTCTTCTACAACTGTCTTCATCATTCTGGATCATTGACACATTTCTACTTTTTTTTGTTAGATAGCTTTCTGTTTTACTATTTATATGAAATCTGAAGTTGCTAGCATATAAGCATGTTAGAATCACTCTGCTATCAAACTGATAGCAGAAATATGATTATTAAAAACAGTGATTCCAAACTTTTATGTGTATTGTAATTAATAATAAACTGAAATATGTGCTTCTCATAATGACCCAATTCTCCTGCAGGATGTGAATTATGAGTTGGACTGGAAGCTGATCACGCTGTTTATTGGGGGAAATGATTTGTGCCACTACTGCCTGGACCAGGTACTATTTTCTGACCATTAGCATATTCCTTACTGTAACACTGTCTAATGTTGATAGGTACACTGTAAAACCTGATGAGTTAAGCCAACTCAAATAGTTCAAGGGAAATCGATTGCCTTAAATAGTTTAGGTTAAATAACTCAAATCATTTGACCATAAATAATTCCCTGAACTGAGTATGAACAAATCACTGCTGTCCGAACAAAAACCTTATATCTCCATTTATCAGTTATTGACATCATTTGAAAATGCCTGTTGCCTTTTGCATTGTCTGTCAATTTCATGATGAATGGACCAAAAAAAACAGCCTAAAATGACTTAGACAAAAGTCTGGTTCCATTGACTTACGTTAAAAGTAAAGTATGTTTTTTCCTTCTCCTGTAAAGTTATCATTTTGGAGATATGAGGTTTTGTTTCAACAACAGCTATATGTTTATTGTTTTATACCCTTAAGTATATTGAGTAAATTGTACTAACACTGTTACGTTTTTTATGTTTTTTTCTGCAGAACAATCTGTCACCTCAAAACTACAGTCATCACCTCATGGAGGGGCTGGATCTGCTCTACAGAGAGGTCAGCAAAGGAGCTAGTACCTTTATCATTCACTTCAGGATTCTCTACATTCTTAAAAAGATTCTTCAAGGGATCTTTAGTAAAGTAAATGGTGCTATTTAGAACCATTATTTTGATATAGAACCATGGGTTCTATATTGAACCATTTTATGGTTAAATGCATCTTATACTTTTATGCATGGTGAAATGGCTCTTCAGATTGTTGGAGAATGTGCTGGTTCTGTATAGTACCAAAAAGAGTTCCGCTATTGTTACAAGCTTGACATCATAACAATAGGAGAACTCTTTTTGGTTATAGAACCGTGACCAAAAGAGTATAAAGCAATACTCTCTAAAATAATTTCATGTCACAGATTCTTTATAAAAAAATAAAAAGAAGAGAGAACCTCTGTAAATATCAAATTTATTTTGTTAACAATACACAAATATACCTTTTCAAAAGAAGAAAATGTCACATTTATCTAGACCAAAGGACGCAAAATATAATCTGGTTTTATTCAAAGCTTAAAATGTCCGCAACATGGTATGTCCTACTTTAAATATCAGATTGGAAAAGTATAATCTTATACGAAAATTCAAAGAGTTTTGTTCTTTTATTCAATAAAACAAGAAAAAAAAGGAAAAGCCCACACTACGCAGAATTAGCTAAGAGCAGAGCTCAAGTGTAGGTGGCAGCCTACAAAGGAGAATTAAAAGCTCTACGACCTCAAACGTTAAGTGTCCCCACAGAACCATTTTTTAAAAAGTTTGTTATTGAATCATATACAAGCACCATTTCATCATGCAAAGAACCATTTAAGTGAAAAAAATGGTTCTATACAGAACCATACAGAACCATTCTATGTCTGTATAACTCATGGTTCTAAATAGAGCCATTGTTTTTACTAAAAAAACATCTTTGTGTGTAGCTAACTGCCACTGGTTTCTTTGCTGTTGAATTCAGGTTCCTCGAGTGTTGGTGAACGTTGTGGCAGTTCCAGAGATGGACGGGTTGAGGAGGATCCAGAAAAACTCTTTACCCTGCATGTTCATCCCCAGGTTTCTGCCTGTCCATCACATTTTCAGATCATTTTTAAACCAATTTCTCCTGAAGCGTTCCTGTTCTGGAGGGCTTCAAGCACGTGGATTGAACTGAAAGATAGCACTACAGGCAGTTAAAACGGGTTGTCTAGGCACTAAGTGTGGTTTTGCCATTTAAAACATTATATAACAGGGGCTAAAATAAGGCTCCGCCTACAGACTAAAGCTCTTTTTGTTTCGGTAATGACATGAAAAAGCGTTTTTTGAGTAAAGTTTTAATTTTTTTATGTAAAAATTCTTGGTAAATCTTTCAACTTCACTTTAAAAGAATTTTAAAAAATCTATGTGTTATTTTCAGAAGCGTAAATGTAGGGGTTAGGGTTTGGGGACAGACACCTCCCAAATACCCTAAAGGGTAAAGCAAGTCTTGGTCTGGGTACTAACAGTGGTCTTATACAGTAGATCTGGCCTTGGTCAGAGTCTCAGGGGTCTTAACTGAAGTGTAACTCCTGTCTTTGTGGTTTTTCTCCTCAGTGAGAAGTGTCCGTGCTTCATGCTCCCAGATGACAACTCAGTAGAGCTGACCGAGATAAAGCTGATTAATCTGCACTATCAGGTAGTTACAGCACAATTACAGCAGCTCTCAGCACTAAGGAGCTCAATATTTATCTGATGAAAATAAAATATATTTCATATATCACATATTTTGCACCAGCACAATCACAGTCATATGCAGAAGTTTGGGCGCCCTTGGTCAAATCCTATGTATTGCTAATTTTTTTTAAGCGAAAATCACATCTGCACATTTTAGAGCACACTTACTGAAAATTTAAACATTAAATGTGGCCTGTGCAAAGGTTATGGCACATTTAAAGTTGATTTATTATATTATAATTTATTTATTAATATATTATAATTTAATAGTTTTACTTAATAATATTAACTGAGCATTTTTCATACATATAGCCGCTCAAAGCAGCTCATTTTCTCAGCTCCACTGACCATATAGGAGCACTTTGTAGTTCTACAGTTACAGACTGTAATTTATCTGTTTCTCTGCATACTTTGTTACCCTGTTCTTCAGTGGTCAGGACCCCCACAGGACCCCCACAGAGCAGGTATTATTTGGATGGTGGATTATTCTCAGCACTACAGTAACACTGATGTGGTGGTGGTGTGTTAGTGTGTGTTGCACTGATATGATGATCAGACAAACACTTTTTTAACTTTTTTAAACACTCACTGTCCACTCACTGTCCACTCTATTAGACACTCCTACCTTGTTGGTCCACCTTGTAGATGTAAAGTCAGAGACAGTGGCTCATCTGCTGCTGCACTGTTTGTGTTGGTCATCCTCTAGTGCTTCATCAGTGGTCACAGGATGCTGCCCACAGGACACAGCTCACATTGTAGTTTGTAGCAGAAATCATTACAGTGAACACCTCTGACGGTGGAAATGCATGTTTCTTTGCATTACACTGAGTTACAAAAGGCTTTAATGGCTTTATTGACTTGTTTACCTTATTTGCAAATATTATGTTTTGTTGTGTAGTGTTTTATATACTAATGCAAATTTTATTTAATTTAATGGACAATAAAATATTCTGATTCTGATTAAAGCGTGTATAATCTCTCTCTCTCTCTCTCTCTCTCTCTCTCTCTCTCTCTCTCTCTCTCTCTCCCCTGCCTATCAGACTGTAACAGAGCAGCTGATATCTGGGGGTCGATATGATGGCCATGAAGATTTCGCTGTTGTCCTTCAGCCTTATCTTCAAAACACAATCATTCCTCTATCTAAAGTGAGTGCAGTCATAACTGGTGGTCTGATATTGTTCTGAAATGTTACAAATGCTAACAGTGACACATCTGTTATGTATTCTAGGATGGAAACCCTGATCTGAGTTATTTTACAGTAGACTGCTTACATTTGAGTGAGCAGGCTCACGCTGAGATGGCCATTGCTCTCTGGAATAACATGGTAAGAGCAGCAACAAAAAACAGAAAGTAGTGATTTGTAAATCCTTTTTGAGGTGTAGCCAATTACAAATACTGCAAAGAGAAGAAATTTAATGTTTAAACTAATTAACTGTATATTGTATATATATTATATATATATATATATATATATATATATATATATAGCATACAATTGTCCAAAATGTCTTGGTTTGCTGAAGTATTAAGGTTTCCCTTCAGTGGAACTAAGGAGTTCCACTGAAAAACAACCCCATAGCATTATCCCTCCACCAAACTTTACAGTTGGCACAATGCAGTCAGGCAGGTAACGTTCATCAAATCCAGACACATCCATCAGACTGACAGATAGAGAAGCATGATTCGTCACTACGCAGATACATACTAAGACTTATTTTTCAGTAACTACATGGATTTCAATGCAAACTGCCCTAGATATTCTTAGATTATAGAAGTGTGTGGTTAAACCCAGCCAAGGGGTTAAACTTTTGATGCATATTTTGACAAAGTGGTGAACCTCAACCCATCCTTGCTCCTAAAGGACTCATCAATTTCAAAATGAGTGTATATTTACAAAAACAATGAAGTTGAGAAGATAAAACATTAAATATCCTGTCTTTGTACAGTCAATGTACAAATCACTGCTTTTTGTTTTATTTGCATTTTAACTACTGTCCTAACTTCTTCAGAACTTAATCGTGTGCTGTAGGAAATGTGCCACTTAAGATATCTTATTTAACCAGCCCACTGGACTATAACTGTCCACCAATCGTGGTCATTTGAACCCACCATCTCCTTTAAAATTGGTTTACAATTCAGCTGCTGCCTGTAACTTAGCAATGGCTGCCAGCTGTTGCAGCAAAGGAACAATTTTGATGTTACTGCATCATCAGCAGACCTACAGAAACTGATCACTGACTGAACCGTGCTGATTAAACGGTGTTGCCTAGCAGTGATGCCAGCATATACAGTGCTTAATGAGATTATTGTCTGTAGCAGAATGTAAACAAACATTCTTGTTAATGAGTTTTCGTGTCTTTATTGTCTCAAAAGCTAATAATAAACATTAACAATGAATCTGTGGTATAATCACAGTAATATGTATTATTGTGTGTGTTTTTTTTCTGTTCCTGCAGCTGGAGCCGGTAGGGAAGAAGCAGATTTTTAACAACTTCACACACGACCGCACAAAGATTCAGTGCCCTTCAGAGGTGAGTGTGACCCAGCTTTCTGTTACACCCAGAAACAGAAATAGCCTCAGTAAGGCAGCAGTGCTGTGCAGCTCAGGGACACTAGAGGAGGAAGAAGGACATGGAGGAGGAAGTGAGGTGATGGAAGATGAACAATTTGCTCATCAATACATATTTAAAATGTAATGTAATGTAATGTAATGTAAAATTTAGACTTACTGTTATTTTACTGAAAAAACAAAACAGCAGTTACTCAAAAGTTACTCAAAAACAACCTTGCACTGTCCTCAGCAGCAAACGTCATAAAGGCCAGCTTTGCACCAGTGAAGAGCCCATATCAAGGAAAAGTACATTTTCTTTCACTTTTCTTAAAAGAGTCACTTCCCACTCTATACAGTTCATGAATGGAATTTAAGCTGCAGAAACAGCCCATTTTGATTTCATTTTTTTGTGATGTCACAAAATCCAGTGCATATCATTTGGGCGCCTCCTGGCCTGAGAGGTTTTGCTTTGTGTAAGACATCATTCTCAGCTTGTATGGGCACTACAACAAAGCTGGGCAAAATACTGCCTCAATCCCAAATGGCTCCCTACTCCCTATGTAGCACACACTACGTGGGTCATTATATAACAGCTTCTACACATAAACAGTGTTATTCACACAGACATTTAGGTAAAACTTTACTGTAGGGTTCTGTTCATAAAGCTACATGACACCTACATAAGCTTGTCATGACAACTGATATAACCCTACATAATTGTTTATAAATGCTTATTCCATCAGGCGTCATCTGTCATAATGGCTACTTTAGCTAAGTTTGATCGAAGTTGGCAAATGTAACCTTTCTAGCAAATTACACCTATTAGAGTAAGCATTTATAAACATTTATGTAGATTTATGTCAGTCACTACAAGCTCATGTAGGTGTCATAAAGCCTTATGACCGTACCCTACAGTGAAGTGTTACCAAGTTATAAATACCATTTATATTCAGTCAAAGCTGCACAACATCTTCTCTAACATTTAGTGCACTATTTGGGTGTAAAAGCCAAACCTTCATGACCTACATCTTTAAAAAAGATGGTTCTTCAAGGGTTCTTTAGTAAGGAAAATGTTTCTATATAGAACCATGAACACTCAACGAACACTTTGCATGATTAAAGGCTTCTTTGCATCATGAAAGTGTTCTTCAGATTGAAGGAGAATGTGCTGTAGATCAGCGTCGTGAAATGTAATGCAGTGTATGCATGTATGCATGTATGACAGTGGTGCACATGCGCAGTGCAAATCGGTAGCCACATCCACCTAGACTGCTTTTTGAAAGAGGGTAGCCAATCAGAACAGAGCTCATTTACGTGTATCAGTCTTTGAAGCACAATAACAAACAGGCTGTTTAATTCTAAGGGATAAAGAGAGGTTGGAAAAATGTAGGACATGGGCTCTTTATTATGTAACATATATATATATATATATATATATATATATATATATATATAATTAGTTATTACTGTTTATGATTTCTGTTTTTCAGGCTCAGCCCTTCATTTACACCAAAATGAACAGTATTCCTAACTACAGTACCACACCAAGCCCAAATATCACCCCTCAGACAACCCAGCCAACCCAGCCCACCCCGTGCCCCTCCACAGTGCCCATCTGGGTGCCTGCGGTGTTTGGGGTCATTGGTTTACTTCTCGGCTGGGGAATCACATGGCTTTTCCTGTGGAGGCGGATGAAGAAGATGAAAACTGCAAAGGAGACCAAAGAGAGAGAAACAGAGCTGAAAGGAACTAGCCTTTAGAATGGATTAGCCTTCAGCATGAATCAGTCATTAGCATTAGCCGTTAGACATTAGACTGTCAAGGAAAAGTTCAAATCAGCACAGACGACATCAGTCAAGAGGTCCTGAATGGTGGAATTATATGACTTTCACAGCAAGTTTCAAAATGTCTGCATAATTCAGTGGTTGAGATGTAAACAAAGTCATTCAGAGTGGTTTGGTGTGAAATGGTTCATCATAGACAAACTTACTAGCTCAGATTTCTTTACATTTTCAACATTTGGAAGACGTTCTTAATCAGAGCAACTCACAATTGGATCATTTTTTACAGAAGCAGGAGAAGGTAGTATTGTTAGAAGTCTTGCTCAGGGACTCTTATTGGTATAATGCAGCATGAAGGGCAGAGGTGTTACCCACTCATGATGTCTGCAACGCAAATATAGACATTTTATTTACTATCCAAAACCACCAGTGAACCTACACGTGTCTTCTGAGCTTTATATGGAATATTGGTGACGATAAAACAGTGAAAAAAATTTTCTTTGGGGACTATTTTGCCTGTTTTAATTTCATTTTTAATTCATGTTGTGCTGTAACCCCAACTGGCCATTGTTTATTCAAAATACGCAAAAACTTCAGCAGTAAATTATAGGCACTTGTAGTAGACCTTGAAATATTACATGAATTACATTAAACCTACCTATCTGCTTGAACTTGACACCTGGCATCCTTTCTTTGCTGCAAGTTCATTAATACTTTGGCTCAGTTTCTGAGCTGCTAAGCTGAGGTTAAAGTGTTTATGTTGGTTTAACTGCAGCTGAAATGCAGCTACTGTGTTCGGTGACATGACTGGTGTGGAACTGCGTAGAATTGTGTAGAACTGAGGTCTAACTGCTGTCCCATAGACTGTTGTGGTGGCATATCATGTTACAGTGCATGCTGGGGACTGTAGTGCAGTCTGTCGTAAAACAGGCTAATATTAAAAGGAAATTAAAATACTTTTGCGGGCCTTGTGTTTGACCCATGGGTTTTAGGCCATCATAAAACAGTGCCTCAGACATCATATTCATAACCATTTCATGTAGTAACTTTCTGCAAGGGAGCTTTTACCGGTGGACGTCTGGTTCCTATCACCACCACTGTGAACAAATTTTGCCTCTTAAGTTTCTCTAGAACAGAGCATTTCACACCAAACCACTCTGAATGACTCTGTTTACATCTTAATATTTAATTACGCAAACATTTAAAAACCTGTGAGATTCCCCTTTAAGCCCCAAATTGAGGATTGTGCAGTAGCAATGTACCTCAGCCCTTTGTTTGTTGGACAGACTTGACTTTGGGCTTAAGAGAACTTTCTAAACTGAGTAATCATGCTTTGTAAAAGTCCCCATAAAGAGCTAAACACACACACACACACACACATACACACTCCAGCTGGACGAAACGGTCCAAGTTATGCAAAAGAACCTCGTGAGTCTCCTGGCCTCAGAAGTCTGAAGTTCATTTGTTGGGAAACTCGTGTCAGTTTTAGAGGGATTAATTGATTAGCCTCTAATCATAAAGACCAACTTTACAGCCTTAATATGTAACTTATGACATTTTATATAATTTAATTTCCCTTTGTAAATTACATTGTTCTTCATTTTGTTTATAAAGTCGCCCCTCAGTACATATTTAAAATGTAAAGAAGACAAAGACTGGACAGAAGATTTAGACTGATTTAGCTTACTGTTGTTTTGTGTGACCATTCAAAACAATTTGTCACATAACAAAACAAGCTTGGACTCTCCTTGAGCCCAAAAGTCTTAAAGGCAAACTTTATGGCCATAACATGTAACTTATTAAATATTTAGTGTTTTAATTTCTTGGATCACTTTTTTGTTTGTTTGTTTGTTTGTTTGCTTTATTTATAATAAAAGGGTCTTGTATGTTTAAAATGTATGATAAAAGGCAAACTCAGGGAGAAGATTTAGAATAATTAGGCTTACATTATTATTATTTCTCAGGGTCAACCGTTTATTTACCAACATGAACAGAGTCTTCAGGGCCCAGAATAAGTGACCTCAAACAAGAATAAACCACAGAAAGATGATGTCAGTGTGATCTCTGTTCTATTTATACATTCAGCAATAAGAAACTATGAATATTTTTGCTTTCATTTTTAATTTTAGTGACTTTTAGTCATGTTCTGCATGACAAACAGCATGGCACAGCAGTGACTTCTCAGATGATATAGTATTATTTTAATGTGAACCAACAATTTTGTCCCTTCTTTTTAAGGTTAAATTGTAAAAATGTTTTAAATGATTGTTCTATAATTTTATATTTTATTTTGATAATAAATTTTGCTTTAAGAGATTTTGTCGATGTCTTTGAATACAATTAATAGTATAAAAAGAAAAAAGAAAGACTAACTGCAAGGAGAGAGTGAAATCTCTTTTTATATTTCTGATAAATTTGGTTGTGTTAGTGGTGTTACTCATTAAACATTAAGTGCTTTTAAAATTAAATGTAGATGGTTCTATATAGCACCAAAAAGGGTTCTCCGTTGTTACAAACTTAGCATCATAATAATAGAATAACCCTTTTTCGTGCTATGTAGAACCCTTTTTAAAAAGGTGCTATATAGAACCATATACAGCACATTCTACTTCAATCTGAAGAGCCTTTTCACAATGCAAAGAACCCTCTAATCATGCAAAGGGTTCTGTGAGTGGTCATGGTTCTCTATAGAACCATTTTCTTTACTAAAGAACCCTTAAAGAACAATATGATACTGTTCAGATTCTCAAATGTAGGGTATAGTGATTAGAAGACCATTTCAGACACAGCATTTGTGTTTTGGTGGTGACATGAAAATGTGGGAAATTGTTATTTTATTTATTTATTTATTTATTTATTTATTTATTTAAATCATGATAGATGTAAATCTTTTAACCTCAACTAAAACAAACAAAATCATACACTAAAAATATTGGGAAAAAATAGGGGTTAGGGTTTGGGACAGACACCCCCCAACAGTAGGTACCCTATAAATTATGATTTTGCATATATGTAGCTTAATATTATCTCTGTTAATGTTTTGGGTTTAAATAGATCATAACAAAATCCTTGTTAATATATATGGTCTTAATAATTCATTTTTCAGTAGTTTATTTTACTGTGGGGCCGCAGTTTGAACTAATTCAGTAAAATGGTGCACATAGCAATTTAAAATGAAGTATAATGATAAAATGCTAAATTGCAGCTTGTGGCGGTCTTTTTATTTTGCGCGCCGCCCGTTAGCGCCCTCTGTGTGCTGCATGTGGAATCGCCGCTGTGGCTTTCAGCGAAATGGCGGAAGGGGAGCTGAATGTTGACAGTCTGATCTCCAGACTGCTGGAAGGTAACTAGATAACTGCTTTTCTTTTTCTCTCCGGCTTTAATCTTAAATGTGTTACACGTCTGGAAAATGATTCAGAGACAGTGATCATTGTTGGTTTTTCGGGCTGTGCGTTTTCCTGTCAGTCTGCTGTAGCTAAGCTGCGGTTAGCCAACGGCTCAAACAGAACTTAGCTGTGTTTCTCTGTGATAAATGTCGGTTTTTATACAAATGATCAATTCTGTCTTTAATTAGGAGGTATAAAAATGAAGGCTGTGTCACGGACGGCACGTTTTGGACCGCCACTCTGCTTAGATATTTTAGGAAGCTGAAGTTGGCTTCTTTTTCAAATGTTCCGTTCCACCTTAAATGGTGCAGTAGTTACATTCTGGCGCCTCAGACGCCAGAACGTAACTGCTGCAGCATTTAAGGTGGAACGGACACTTCTCAGAAGAAGCCAGCTTTTAGCCTCGTAGATAAGATGTTGGTCTGTTTTTAGTGCTCATTTTTGGCCACATGTGAGCTAAATGAGCTCTGATGTCTAATGTTGATGAGAGGTCTGAAATAATTTAGGTCTTTTCGGTCCTCTGGCTGTGTGCGTGTCTGTGTAATGATAGGCTCCTGTCAGATGTTTTGGACTGAAACTGAAGGACTGGAGCCAAACCCACTCGAACAAAGCATCTCTAATAAAGCTTCTCCAATGGACCACACACATGCCAATGGCCATTTTTATGCTTCTTGTTCAGAGTGCTGTGCTGTCCAGCTAGCCGACTGACCTACTTTATAGTGAATCACTATCAGGGTTGGGATGTAATGGAATAGTATTATTAAGTAAGTATTAGGAAAATGTATCCAGAATATAAATTAAATATCTGTGTTCGGTGACATTTGGTAAAAGCAGTATTGAGGATACAGTTACTTTTTTGCATTTTTAGAATTAAAGAAAAAGACACACCATCAATACTTATTAACTATTTTAAAATCGGTGCTCGGTGTATAATAAAAATGCTTATTAGACAAATTCTAAAGAGGAACTTAATTCTAACAGCTTCTTTACATACCCTGAAGCTCCTGCTAAAGCCTGAGTAGACTGATAAATCAATGTGATGATCAGTTATTAATCTCAGTGTTACTGAGCTCTGCGAAACCTCACTCTTGTCTCATTTCTATTTTATCAGATAAGAGTCATGAGAGAGGAAAATAAAAGTTATGAATTTTTGGTGCTTCATTTAAATGAAGTGATTTTTTAAATTAAAAATAATAACAGAAACCTGCCATCCCGTAACAGCGAGAAGCGGTGAATTAGTAAGTTAAAAAAAGGTACCTTAGCAATATACATTCTAGGGGCGTTTTCCTGAGTACTTGAGTCCAAACCCAGGACCGATTCTGGGCTCTTCTGGGGGAGGGGCTCATTAACACTGGTTTGCTTTCACACACACGAGTTCCATCCGAATCTCGTATCGATTGCACTATTCCATACGTCACTTTTTCTCGCATGTTTGCAAAATGGCACTAGCTGCATCCCTTTGCTGCTTTTTATTGTTTTCCTTGGATACAAACACTCAAGTGGTGAACAGCACTTTTTGGATACATGGTGTCTCACCGTGCAGGAGCACCTGCAAACAATGTCCTGTTCTCACATGGGAAGGGAAGTAACGCAATATGTCGTAACAGCCGCGCTACAAAATGAACCAATTATGCACGCAGTCACACACGTGGTGTAATATAATTAAATATGTTACAGAATACATTTAGCACACTGTAGTCAGTATTCAGGCATCACTACCTTTCCAAAGTATTTTGCCCAACACTGATCACTGAAGTGAATCGCTCTGCTTTATGGTTGTTTTGACCCAGTTAGCCTTCATGCTGTGCACTGAGGCAAATGTATAAAAAACAGAAGTAACCTGCTGCTGCTGACCTTTCCAGCCTGCCTACAACAGGTCCACTGCAACCCACATTAGCGCCTGCTCTTCAGAGATCTGTACGTTTCAAAATCAGGGGTCTATAGTGCTGTGTAGTGCTTCCACAGTAATCTACTCACTTAAAGATGGTTCTTCAAGGGTTCTTTAGCAAAGGAAATGGTTCCTCTTTGTGTTGCAAAGAAC